TGGTTACACCATTGTCATTCTCGTTGGTTAAAACCTTCTCCCTCTCCGTATTAAATACGGTTAGGTATGCCTGTTGGTTACACCATTGTTGTTCTCCTTGGTTAAAACCTTCTCCTCTCCATATGAGATACGATTAGGTACGCTTGTTGGTTATACCGCCATTCCTCCTATCGCATGAAACGCGTTGGGATTGCAAGTTTACTCGGTTAAAAACATCAGGTGCGTCTGGTGTTTACACCATCTTTCCTCCTTTCGCGTGAGACGCGTTAGGCTGTTGTTTCACTCGGTTAAAATTATGTTGTGACACATTTGCATGTGATTTTGTGGCACATTTAATGCAATGCACCCCCTGTTATGTTTCATATCATTTGCACGAAGCTTGCCTCTTCATTATTGTCGTCTTCATATCTTTATCATCACTTCATGGCATTGTATTGCATTGCATAATCATGAATTTTCAAACAACTGGCTTCGCAAAGCGTGTAAGTCCAACCTTCAAACTGCATTTTGAGCATGTCACTTGCATTCTGCCCCTGAACTACGCTGGTTTGATTCCTTGCAAAAGGATACGTAGGCAACCTTCGGGTTCAACCACTTGCATTGCATATTGTTTGCTTGCCCAAGTCTTACGGCCTTGTCAAAAGGGTCGTCTTTGGGCTTTGACATTCACTCACGTCATGAAATGACTTTGAGCTCTGTCAAAGAGGGGCAACTGTAGACACCCCATTTTGACCGGCCCTAAGACTTGGGCGCTTTCTTTTGATTACCCGATGATGACAATTAGAATGTGTTTCTCACAAAATTCTCAGTAAGAAAGATGGAAATAAACTTTAATCCTAGTCTTACACCTGTTTTTGCCAAATTATTTTAGACTCCTTCTCCATTTTCTTTCCCTTTATTATGTATTTATTATGATGTACATAGTATTAATATTGTTATATTATTATAATATATATTTATAATTTTATTAATTTTATTCATTATTTATTATTTATATAATTTTATTCATGTTGACTCTGGTTTCACCTCACGCACCATACTTTTGTATATATATTATAATATTATATTATATAAGGGTATTATTCCTCATTTGAAAAAAAAATTCACTACACTCCCATCGTGCGTCTTTTTGTTTTCTGTGGCCTTTAGACCCGCTTGTTCAAATTATGTTGCATATTTGGCCTACTAAAATATATTTTATTAGTCCATGTATTTTTAATTTATCGTATTTGTGTGTTTTTTATATATTTTTTCTGTATTTGTACATGTATTTATGCTAATAATCTCTTTTATATATTATTATTTTAAAGTGCATAGTAGTAATTTTACTGTGCATCTTTTGAAAACAAACTCCTCCACCACCGTTTCTTCTTTTGTTCTTTTCTTACAATTATTTTCTATTAAAAGGGGTAAGATCAAGAAGAAGGATGAGGGATTTTTTTTTGAGGGAGAGATTAGAAGAGTTTCAAAAAAATTGGGTTAAGAGAGAATTAAAAATAAGGGGAACGTTGGTTCGGTTTTGCTGACATGGTGTATGTAATTTTTGAAGATTAATTAAAGTATATCAGATTTGTACAAGAAAGTTTAAGTCCCGCTCTAAAGTTTGTCTAATTCCAAAATTTTGACTGAGAATGAGAACACATGTTCCACAGGACTTACGAGAGAGGTAATCAAATTAGATAAGACTTTTTGATGGTCGTTTTGAATCAATGATAAAATTCATTCAGTTGTCCCCGAAAAGTGTGTAGTTTTTCTGTCTATTATGACTTTCATTTTTAATTTCAAAAAAATGTCGATTAATTAATTTGTGTTTTACAGTACTGTTTTATTTTTTGTTTTTCTAATTTTTTTTTATCGTCTTTTTTAGAGAATGGGTTGTCGTTCGATAACCATCCTAATTTTTACATAAACTTTATTTTATCTGCGGTTGTAATCTTACTTCTTGTGCCTATTGTATTACATTAGATATCTGTATTGTTATATTAAACCTAAAAAATGTTGTATGTTTTTTACTAATTATAAATCTTAGTTGTAATATTTTAATCAACGTTTAAATGGTCGGTTTGAAACCCATTTTCCTAATTTTACTTACTTTTTTATCTGCATTTGCTGTAATTTTTACTGTTATGATATACTGATTCTAGTAAGATTTACATTTATAAATGTTGTAGTTTACTATTTATAAATTGTTGTACATTTTTTCACTTTTTAATTATTGGTGGATCGTAACTCAACCTTAATTTGTCTTTTTATAAAAGATTGTTAAACCCGTCCCAAATTATGTTAATATTTTTTTGGTGAATCGGTTTTTGTGAATAGTATACCCTCCGGCTCGTTTGTTAAATAGTAACTATTTCCTGGCGAGTGTGATTTAATAGTAACCCCGAGACGATTTTCATTATGTAATTTAATTAGCCCCTTCATCGTATGAATAGGTACCTCCTGTGCTGCATATTTTTCTTATGAAATAGTGAACAGCCGTGTTATGATAAAATGCTTCCTCTATAATATTACTTTTATGGGATAATGTATGCAAGAATAGACGATCAAGATAAGGTTGCATATCGTATTAATTTCATGTCATGTTACATATAACTTTTCCATCGTGCTTATCGTGAATAGTTGTTAGTCTCTGGGCATGAATTGCTATATATTAGTTAGCTTTCAATTTTCCGACAAAAAATAAGTCCATTCGCGCGAAACAGAACGAGGGGTGTCAGCAAGTCTTCCTAATTCGTTCAAGCAACAATATTGTATTTCGCGTCGCTACACATGAGAGTTTCTTTATTTTATTTTATTTTATTTTTATGTCTTGATGATTGTGACGGTTATGGTTTTATTTTATGTTTCTGAATTATTTCCTTTCTTCTCCTTCTTCATCTTTGTTTTGTAATATATTTTATTTGCAGAGCGTTGGAATAATTTAGAATTCTCTTCACTCGCCCTTTATTGTCCCGCTTCCTTTCATATCCCGTTCTTTCTGCTTTCCTTTATTGTACCTATAATAACATTTCATATTTTTATTTTCATCATAGTTTATTGCTTGCATCGAGTGCTTTTTTATGCATCTTTGATTCGGCTATGAGTTTGCCTACTTGTGTTATTTAATCAATTCCTATTTGATTTAATGTGCTTGCTCCTCATGTTCTTGAGGCTGAGATGTAGGTTCTTACATATCTATATTTTAGGAGGCGAATCTTTAGTTGTCTCTCATGCCTGCTTAATGTGTGCATGTAGTGATTTCTTTTTGTGATTTTTATAAGATCTATGCTTGATGGTTTTTAATTTCAACTTGTTTTGTAGCTTGTCATAATTTGGGTCCTGGTCAAAGCACTGTACAAGTTTTTATGTCTTTAGCATCCCGTTTGTGTTATGCTTTTTCTTACTATTGTATTTTAAGTCATGTATCTACCCAATTGTTCTATTTTGCTATGTATTATTTAATTGCTATGAATGCCACTGATTGGCTATGGATGGTTGTGTTCTGCTTAATTTTGAGCGTTAATGATGTTGTATTTCTATTTTTCAGTTTTCTTTGTTTGTAAACTCAAAATTAATTTATTTGGTGTTTGATTACATTTATTTCAAAATCTCTTTCAAAACCTACATGAATATTCCATATCCAATATGTTTCGTGACTAGTCTATACTTGTATGTGCATTGTCCTATTCTATTCACCATACGTAAATTGTATTTAGAATTTTTTATTAAGTCTATATTCAGAAACATGAACATAATAATACAAAATAAAAATTCATATCGTGGTTAGAAAGGTGCTCTGATTCTTTTTGATTCGTATTCTAAAGTGGCGCGGGGTGCTCATATATTGACCTTCCTTTCCTCTATAAACCTTTAAAAGGGTTTCCGAGCCAAGCATCCTTGGTTACCGTCTCTATTTTTTTATTTTACGGAAACAGTGGGGCCTTGGCATCCGATTCTCCATTTGGTTCCTTAGATTTTCTCCATATAAATTTATTATTATTTTTTTGTTTCTGTTAATTTTATATCTTTTCTCTTCTTTTCTTTTTTATTTTTTGTTTGTGGCGAAGTTTCTGTTGAGAATCTTGTATTTACGCCAGTTCCATTATTACTCCATTTTAATTTGCTAATAATCAAATGTGATTTTCCATATTAAAATTAAATTGCCTCAAAATCGGACTCTCGATCCACGTTGTTTCCTATCTTATTGCACTTTCAGTGTTTTGAGAATAGAAACATATTCCAAAGGGAATATACTTGGTTGGTTGTTTTTCCTGAACTGTTTTTTTTTTTATTTACGCCCTTTTTCTGCTTGCTGTGTGGGTAAACCCCCCCCCGGGGCATGT